TATGACATATAATGGTTCCTTATTATAAATCTTTTATAAATATCGTTAACTCAAAAAAATTACAACTTTACAAAAAAACATTACAAGTTAATTCAATTACTATACCTCAAAAATGTTTTAATTACTATAGTTAATGAATGCTCAGAGTTAGCAAGGCCAAATAAAAAAACAACCATAAAAATTGGCAATAATAAACACAAATTTATACTTAAGTCTTTGATTTCATAATACCCAGACATCATTGGATTGACATTCCATTTAGACATTTTAAGTATCACCAAAACTTTGTTAATGTTCCATAATGGGAACAGGCGCAGTAATTGAAAAAATGGAAAAAAAAAAGAAAACAAACCTAAATCTTTGGCATTTTAGTTCATTATATTTTTTGGCACAATATATATATATATATATATATATATATATATATATATATATATATCAATTCAGAAGAGTACTAATTATTTTTTTCCAAAACACGATAAAATTTTGATGATTATTCACTGAATTAAAATGACAAAATGTAGATCGATATTTTATCACTGATTTTATGACATTTTTTTATTTAATTACAATCTGTCACACTTAGCACATTCAGTAATTGTTTTGACTTTTTCATTATATGGGTCTTGAATGGATGGCAACCCAGTAGTTGTCTAGTCCAATGACTAATTATCTTTACTCGAAGTATTTGCTGACATATTCATTATATATGCAACTCTACCCACGAGAGGCGATTTTCACTTGAGGCTATATTTGAGATCTATAACCCCAAGTGTAAATTTGACATCAAAGTTGCCTGATGTCGGGCTATGGCGGTAGCGAGAATTGAGCCAGCAAACATGGGACTACTTGGCGCTGACCCTTATGGCACTTTTAATAGTTCATTTTTTTTTTTTTATTTAATTATCCCGTTTTTTATTTAATTATCCATATGTAAGATCTTATTAGTTAAAAATTAGAAGTTTTCCAGATGCGAACTCACAGTCCGACGAGTGTAGTATTGTTACAAATATTCACTCATGAAGCATAGGTTAAGTTTAGATACTATTGTTTCTAATTCAGAAGAGTACTAATTATTTCTTTCATAAAACAAGATAGAATTTTGATGACTATTATCTGAATTAAATTCTCAAAATGTACATCGAATTTTATCGCTGTTTTAATAGCGTGTTTATAATTCTCTGACATTTTGAGTCTCAAACAAGACCACAAGTTACATTGCTAGGTTGTTCACTGTATTGTATTCCTGACGTATTTTTTTCCTAAACACGTTTCTGGCAGTGGCATATTAAAAATGGTTGGATGGAGTCGATGATTGACTTTAAAATTAAATAATATGATTTCACGTATGCTGTTCTAGGAAGAAGAGGAGCCAGCGGTGACGATATCGGTTAGAACATGGGCTAGCACCAACTAGTCCCGGGTTCGCTGGTTCGATTCCCGCTACCGCCAAGCCTGACATCAGGCAACTTTGATGTCAAATTTCCACTTGAGGTCATAGATCTCAAATATAGCCTCAAGTGAAAATCGCCTTCCGTGGGTATAGTTGCATATATAATAAAAATGTCAGCAAATACTTCGAGTATAGATAATTAGCCATAACTGGACTGGACAACTACTGGGTTGCCATCCATTCAAGATTCATATAATAAGAAGAGTCAAAACAATTACTGAATGTCGTACGTGTGACAGATTGAAATTAAAATAAATAAAAAAATCTAGATATATGTATTTGATTCAGAATAAATAATATTGAATAAACTAATATTATGAACAGTTATGAACACTGCAAAGTTGCGACTCAGTCATGCTCGTACAACTATTTGTTCAGGTTGGACAAGCACTATAAAAATTTGCGTCATAAAATCGAAATACATAAAAAATAGCAAAGTTTAAAGTTACAATTACTGATTTTTTATAAGCATACATCAACTCATAATTTTCCACATATCAACTAGTAAAAATCGAAATATATTATACTTAAAAATACTTCAGAATCACCACCACTGTATATGTTTTTACATACCATTACAAACATTCGTGATTTATTCCTGTTATTATTAATTAATTCTCCACCAAGTGTCACAACAATTTCACAAAACACTCAACATCTTATAACAATATCAATCCATAATGAAATCGTTTTTAAACCAGCAAAATTAATTGGAACTAAAAATGTAGAAATTAATTCTATCACAGTGACCAATGAATTTGTCACGGTAGTTCTGCAGAATGCGACACTCGAGCGAATGCAAACAAAACACCGAAGTCATGACGATCGTCGGCGTTGAAAAATCATGCCGCCGATTAGTCAAAACGTCAAAACATCGCCGTGTGTTGAACATTGTCGAGAGAGTGAAACGGACGAAAAAAAGAATTAATATCGTGCATGCTAAAACTCGCAACTAAAATCATGGAAGATATTCTTAAAAACGTCTATATACTGCAATGAGTCATCCTCGTATGTGCTGCCAGACATGCGGAGAGATATTTCGTTTATTTTGACTTCGGTGGTCTCAGACAGTGAACTACAGACGGATAGCAACGTAGAAAATATACGGTACTATACAAAAGAAAAGTATAAACTAGACGTGCATAGCTCCGTGCCTTAAGGCCAATTGCTGGAACTTCCTGTACCGTAATTAAACATTCGTGGAATGAAAATAATGAATAATTGTTTTAAATAATTTCAAATAAATTTTTATAAATACATACTGTAAATAAGTGCTTATTAAATTGGGCGACGAGCGTATTCTATAAGGAATTATGTCATGTTTACAAGAAATTTGTTCAATTGTTTTTGAATTTGATTTTTCTGATAAGTTTGAAACTTTGGTAAATTTTTTAAAAGTTCGATTTTTTTTGGAATTTTTCGAAAAAATCTATTTTTAATTTTTTTGACAATTTGGAAATTTTTGAAAATATTTGATTTTTCTGAAAATTTCGAAATATTCTTAAATTTCTGTACGAAATTGTTTTTTTTCTAATTTTATATTGTTTAAAATGTTTCAAAATTTAGATGTTTTTTGAAAATGATGAAAAATTTCGAATTGTTTGAAACTTCAAATTTTGTTTGAAAATTTAGAATTTTTTTTTTTGATTTTCAAAATTACGTAATATTTTGTAAAAGCATTTTTGCGCATAGTCTACTGAAGCAAAATGTTTGCAGCGACACTAGCTGTCCTACTATAGAAAAATAGTAATATGACTACTAGCCTCCACACTATGAATTAATTTATGAGGATCCTAATGAATTAATTTAAGACCACCCCACATGTTTTTTGAATTAATCTAATCGGATGATCCGTTCTCTCAAAAACTACATGACCATTTTTGCACCCTTTGCGCTCCATAGCTCCGAAACGGCAAGATGTGCCTTTTGCAAAAACGCCTCGCGATCGAGTTTTTACCGAAAACCGAATGTTTTTATTCAATCATACAAATCGGTTATTGCATCATACTGTCGAAAATGTCGAGAACATTTGCTTGAACCATCGGTTATTGGCGATATCGGTTAGAGCGTGGGCCTGCACCAACTAGTTCCAGGTTCGCCGGATCGATTCCCGCTACCGCCGTAGCCCGACATCAGGCAACTTTGATGTCAAATTTCCACTTGAGGTTATAGATCTCAAATAAAGCCTCAAGTGAAAATCGCCTCTCGTGGGTATAGTTGCATCTATAAAAAGTCAACAAATCCTTCGAGTATAGAAAATTAGTCAAACCTGGACTGGACAACTACTGGGTTGCCATCCGTTCATATAATAAGAAAAAGTCAAAAAAATTACTCAATGTCTTAAGTGTGACAGATTGTAATAAAAAAAAACAAAAAAAAATATAAATGAACTTAAAAATTAAAAATTTTGGTACAAAACCCAAAAAAATGTATACATATTATTAAGATCTCTATAAAATTTGATGTGCATATGCCTGGTCTCTATTACAGGCAGCAGCAAGATCGATGGATCGACGATGGTAAAAATCCCTACGAATCTACGGGCCCAAACTAACTGATGTCACCTACCAGCCATGTCTATGTCTACTATGCTCGTGACAACATAATTCGTTCGTTAAACTAAATACTTCTAAATTACTATTATTATTATTATTATTATTATTATTATTATTTCTTTCTTTGTTTATTTTTTCTTTTTTTGTTTTATATAACTGTTATTGTTATATTGTTAAAATACTTAATAATTAGTTAATTAAACACTTACAATTTAAAAAACAAAAAATTTGAGAAACTTTTTTTTTTTTTTTTTTTTTTTTTTTTTCCTAATTATTATTTTCATAAGACTGTTATTGTTAAAATACTTAATAATTAGTTAACTAAAAACTTATAATTCAAAACACTTTAAAATTGTGAAACAAAATTTTAATTTTTTTATTTTGACTGTTATTGTTAAAATACTTAATAATTAGTTAACCAAAAACTTATATTTAAAAACACTTAAAAATTGTGAAACAAAATATTTCCTTCATCAAAATACCTAAAAATTTGTAAAAGAAAAAAAAATTGTAAAAATATTTAACAATAACAATAAAAATGATAGCATTAATAATAATAATAATTACAATAATATAAGATACTTAAATTTGTTAAAATATCATAAAATAACCTAAAATTTGTTAATATTGTAAAAGTATGTATTGTAAAGCTTATTAAAATTACTTATTAAATTTTTAAAAACACTTGTAACAAACAAACTAGTTATATTTAAAAAAAAAAAATTATAATTAAGTAAAATATAAATAGGTTTATAGTAAATAAATTAAGTAATGAAATAGCTAATAATTAATTAAATTATATTAAACCTATAAAATAATGACTTAAGCCTTATTATAATATTAAATATTATACCGACGGCTTGTAAAATTAATAAATAAATAAATAAATAAATAAATACAAATAAAATGTTTTTTGAATTGTTCAAATCGGACACTCCATTATCTCTAAAACTGAATGACCATTTTTGGATCTTTTTCTGTTTAAACATGTGGCCTCTTTAGCTCAGTGGCAGAGCACTGGTCTTGTAAACCAGGGGTGGTCGTGAGTTCAAACCTCACAGGAGGCGAATTAATTTTCGAGTTATCAATCCAAAATATCAGAAAAAAATATTCGTAAAAAATTATTATTATTTTAATATAAGTATTTATAACAACATTTATGAGGTTGATGTCTCTCACGTATAGGCTCCTTCTAACTTCATGAGAGATATGCAGTGATTGTTACGAAAATCTTGTCTCTTTTTAACTCTGTAAAAAAACTACTCAAACACCAACGTTTGAAACAAATCAAATAGGCTTATGCCGTTTAAGATTAATTTGGCGTGCTGTGATTTTTTTTCATAAAAGATATTCAGACTTTAAAAAGAAAAAGGTAGCACCGACGTTTGACATAAATCGAAAATACTCTACCACAGAGTATCTCCGAAACGGCTGCATCAATCTATCAATCTATCTATCTAAACTAATCAGAACGATTTCTGATCAAAAAGATTCGAAAGCTTTTTGAATGAAACAAATCGGTGTAGCGGTGCACCCAAAAACGTCGACAAAACATTGTATCCACACATACACACATATACACTAATATTGTAAATATTACACATAAATTTATTGTTTCTATGATATTCCAAAATGTTTAGAAACCTCTGAAACGTAAAGATATGCAAAAATTATGATTTTCGATTTTTGGACGATTACCCTACGGGAACTTGATGAAATAGATATATTTGTAGTTTCGTATACTTCAAGGCATTAAACTTATACTTTTTAAATTTAATGAAATTGTGTCAATGAGTCTCAAGATAAAGTTTGATTTTTACTCTTATAGTTTTAAGCAAATATTTATTTCACATACGTTTATAATATAACTTTCTACGTATTGATAATTTAAAACTTATATCGATAATATTTAAAAATGGCCAAAATATTTTATTGATTAATTTATTTCAGAGTACGGTCTTTAATTGCAAGATTTGTTTATTATTTTTGTAAAGTAGAATGATGTCTGCTGCGGATTGAAAATAGCCCAGAAAAATATTTACGAATATTTTTAAGAGGATTTCTGAAACCGAACCAAAAATAATATTATAGAAAAAATGCGATTTCGATATCGAAAGCACCACTTATTAGGATGTTCATTTGTTTATCTGTTTAACTATTAAACGGTTTATATATAAACAGAAATCAGGATTATTTCTAGACGGCAATCAAATCAACAAAAAACAAACTTTACTTAAGATTAGAAGCTTCCAAAAACATATCCTGTGCTGAAAGCAACCTGATATAATGCAGTATTGATACAATTCATCTTGCTTTTTGTTGTAATTTATTCGATAAGTAATCAGAATTTAAGTGCCTTATAAGCAGTTATAAATAATTATACTACGGTAAATATTCAAACAGAAGGCAATTTAACGATTTGCCTTCTAATGCTGCTGGTTATTATTTGCTTGAAATTATAGATTGGCATTGTTGCGAAAAATGCTTCCAAATACATATGCTGCGCTGGGAGCAACCTGATATCACAAGTTTTCACAACGTGATTGTATTTCATTAGCAAATTTAATATTACCTAATGAGACCTAAAAACTTTGCTATTTAACAGTCTACGAGAGTGTCAATGCTCCATATATGCGCCAGCCTTTTTGAGACTATGATCTTCACAGTTGAGTTAACGCGTCAGGAAGAGTGTGGGTGTATGTCTGGGAAGCCCAGACATGGAATTCCATCGTGATTTTTAAATTAATTCAAACATCATTTAAATAACTAAGATGCGCAATATTGGAAACATATGTCTGGATGTATGATCGTAAACTGAAAGCGAAAATGCTAGGTATGTACGAAATATTAAAATGGAATGAACGTAAAGTATACCATAATATATGTTTATGCAAATGCATAGGAATATAATATAGCTGTTATATTTTTCCATTTATTTATCAACTATTATAATACTTGTTAAATAATATTAGTAAATAAGGTTGGCAGAGCATAAAATTTTGAACTGATAAAGGCGACTTTCGCGTAAATATTATTTTATATGAACTGATATTATTTTATATGAACATAAATGTGCCAAAGCTCAAAACTACTTTTTAACTTCCCGTAGGGCAAGTTATAGTAATCGCAAAAAAAACAACTGAACATTTTGGCATACCTTAGAAAAAATGGATGTATGTGTGTGTGTGTGTGTGTATGTATGTATGTATGTATGTACGTGTGTGTATGTATGTGCGGATACAAATTTTCGTCGACGATTTCGGGAACACGGATCAACCGATTTCAATAATTCAAAAAAAATTCGATTTGTATTGATAAGGAGACGTGCTGATTAGTTTTTGGCGAAGGCAGGTCTAGCCGTTCCGAAGATACGGGGCAAAAAGTGCCAAAAACGATACCTCCGTTTTTAAGAGAAAGGAGCGTCCGATTTGAATAATTAAAAAAACATTTTATTTGTATTGACAAGATGAAGAATCGATACAATTTTCATGAAGGTAGGTCCAGCAGTTTCGGAGATATAGAGGGAAAAAAAATGAGCCATTTGGCGGTCAAAAATGATCATTAGACATATGCACATCAAATTATCAGATATTTTATAGAGATTTTAACAATAAGTATACATTTTGTTAACATTCCTATGGGTTCCGTACCAATGCTTACGCGTTAGACAGCGACGCCGCGCTTACGCGCTTTATATTTTGTCCTTATGCAGTTAAAGCAGTACGATTGCTTTGAAAAAAAAGTTCAGATCTTCCACAATATGTCAAAATAAAGAAATTTTTTTTTTTTTTAAAAAAAAACTTTTTTTTAATTTTTTTTTTTTTTTTTAATTTTTTTTTTTTAAATTTTTTTTTTTCAAAAAAAACTAATTTTTTGTCCAATTTATAGTTTCTCAAAAATCTTATTTTTTCAAAGTAATTTTTTTTCAAAAATGTTAATCGTTTTTAAAAAAATAAAAATATTTGGTACGGGAAGTTCCAGCAATTTGCCTTAAGGCACGATACCCTAATTGCCTTAAGACAGAATTCCACTTACAGCTAGTTCCATCCCGGTTTAATATTCTTCGCGTTTTATACTACTAGCAATGAACGTGCAAGTGGTATTAAAACATCTCATTGTTTGATACTTTTCTTCACCTCTTATGTTACCTGCCATTAACGGTTTAGAATTACTTATCAGGTTTCTGATGCCAGATTTCAGTACTAATTTAAAAAAATGAATAGTTCTGAATGTTATACATATATTATCTTTTTTGGTGTGAAGAGAGATCAAAGCTTACGGATTATGAGAGCTGTTGTGATGAATAACTTACAAACAACGCCAATTTTTTTATAAATAGCGAGCCAAACAGTGTCCCATCCCATCTCTAAGTGATAAATTTTATTTTCACAGTTACTTTAACACTGATGAATTTTTATTGATTCAGCAATGCCAGTTAAGGGCTTTTTTACTTGAAAACTTACTGAAATCTATATTTGTAATCTAAAGACTTTGTTCTTCTGCTTGACGTCAAGCAGTTCGAAGCGGGTATCGAACCCGATACTTCTGATTCATTATAAACATACTTTTAGTATTGTAGCAATGTACTACAATATGTACTAATTTATTATAATAAACTTTCCAATTGAATAAAAGTATATCAAAAATCTCCTCATTCACAAAAATAAAAAAAAATCATGACACAATGTTTTCTTATCCTCTGCTTACTTGATCGCCACATCACTCCCCGCTTATAGTGATGAATGTTTCTAAGATTATCAATTTGTGATTTTTATACCTAATAAGTGATAGAATGGTTACGTAGCAGTTTTTTTTGTTTTTACGGTTTCGTAACTGTCTTACGAAATATGTACTTAAATTACTCTCTAAAATATTTTACCAAACCAATCCATGAGATATACTTTTGTTTCGATTCTCCTGCTTGAGCATTTCTGTTTATAATGAACAAAGATAAAAATATTGAGCTATCAGATAAAAGTTTATTGAATTTGAATCAAAACGAAACTTTTACATTATGTTGTAAAATGTGGAAATTGATCCGATTTTATGGTAACTAAAACTTATTTGTTCAATGGCGAATAAATGATATTTCTCATACAATAATATTTCTATCTGTTATAGTACACCCTTTACTAAGAGGCCGAAATAGCTCAGTCAAAAGCATGCCCGACTCACACGTCAAAGTTACTCGGTTTGAGTCCTGGCACTGACATAGGATTGTCATTTGATTTATTACATTGGATTTGAGTAAAATTTAAATTGTTGGTTTGAGAAAGATTAGTATTAGAAGTTGAGAAGAAAAAGCAAGGTTATAAGAAAATGAAGAATGAAGAACCTGAAGAAGTCAGTTATAAAGAAAATTGGGTAGTATAGAGTATATAAAGATAGTATATGATATAATAACAATTGTATATGTCATGATGCAAGTTGTATATGGTATATCAAAAATAGTGTTAAATGTATAAAGAAAAGTTGAATAAATGGCTAATACTGCAAGTAAGCAAAAAACGTAAGTAAAACCTTTACTAAAGTTCTAATTATTTGTATACTTCAATAAATGATTTTCTGCTGATAATAATGATTTAATTACAGCAAAAAACACAAAAAGTCTAGCAGACCAATAAATGAATATACGATAGATTTTATTTGTATTCGCTGAATACAAAGTAAAATGCACACCCCAATTTTTTTTTATTCGTGTGATTTGGTTAGCATGTGCAAACGGCATTTTTATTGTCATATGCGTACATTCCATTTCAACTTCATGTTTATTCACGTTGTAACGTGCTATAATTTTTTATGTCAACGCCGGAAATTCTCGAATATGGATAGATATTGTGCAAAACGCATTCATAAAATAAATTGAAATATCCTACGAATTGCCTTGAGATTTAAAAATGAAAACAATGAAATCCTCTTTCCACACACCTCTTTTCCTTTTTACTTTTAATACATTTTATCAAAGTTTATATTTGACTAATATTTATTAATTTTAAGTATATTCAGACTGGTGATTTTGTTGCCTATTTTATCATAATCAAATTTATATTTTATATCTCATACTGTG